AAGGGCCAAGGTGGTGTAGTGACAAGTGGCGCACTCTCACACATCTCTCTTTCTCCGGTAGTGGGATCAGATCTAGAACCGATTCTTACCGAGCTAACAATGCTCTTCATATCTTCGGGGTCGGTTAATTGGTACAAGACTCGTCTGGGAGGATAAAAGCACTGACTGTACATCAGCTGACGACCGCAAGTCACTGTATAGGCCACGTACGCATTCAATTCGCTACTACGATTTCAAATGGAGGTCGAACACGCGGCGCATCCTTCACATGAGATTGACCAATGCACAGTAAACAAACAAAAAAAGCAGTAACAAGTGGAAAATGAAGTAGTTAATTGGTATTTACTGTGCATCATCCTGGTCTTTGAGATTTTATTGCTCTGCAAGTCCCTGCTCCCAAATATAAAAGCCGTCTGAGAGATCAGTGATTAATGACGGCCATTACTGCAAATTATCTCTACATTAGCCAGTATTTATGAGTCATTTGAGTTTTTCATTCACTTTATTACTTTTAGGTATTAAAAGAAAGATCAGTTGCTAGTAATCATTTGCCGATACTGAAAGTTCGCAGCCGAGAAACCCTCGGAACACTTTTCCTTCAGTTCACACCTTACCCATAAGCAACTCAGAATAGCTCGTCATCCGCGAGCTGTAGGTAGTCATTAGGTCCGCTGCTAGACTTAATCGAAGCATCATTAATCCAAGATTGAGCTGATCACTACACCTACTCTTATAGTCGACTTGTCGACGGTTTTTGGTCATCTTTTATAATTTTTGGTCAGTTAGTGTGAAAATCCATTAAAAAAGTTGCATTTTGCTAACACAGTAAGCAATTTGACAAATATGCTACTACTGACTTTTTTTGAAAGAAAAAATTCGCGAAAACTCTGTGTTTGCCTGTGTCTGTGAAGAAGCTATAAAATGAGCCCCTGAAAAAGTGTTCAATGGTATTTCAAAGGCGTACTTCAAAGACGTTCTGCGAAAACTCTACGAGGTGATATATCGTCGGGTGCCTTTCAAAAATCTTTCGAAAATCCATCACATTCAATAAACTATTGAATTCTTTATTGAAACGACGCCCCATGGATCTTTTCTGACTTTTTTTCGGGATGTTCCCTGAAAGTTTTCGATTCGATAGCTTTTTATAGCCTATTTAAGATGGCTATAATCCATTTTCACTGTTGTCAAAGTATTGAGAATAAGCAATCTTCGGAAACTTAACGAGGATTGTACCATAATGTCTCTAGTTCAAGCGCCATCTCATCCCTTTGGTCTGACTTTTTTGAATGTTTCTTGAATAGGTTTTATCAAGAGGGGCTTCGATAGGTCATTTACGAATAGCTATAAAGTTCACTGATAACTTTCACGGGTAGATGACTCTGAAGGCTGCTTCACTACTAGAGCGTGATGGCTAGGGGCGTTGCTCAGGCCTTTGCCACCTTTTGTTCCATCCCTCTACTCCTCCTTATGCTAATCTTCGGCAGGAAAACCATTGCCTTTATTCTGAACCATTAAAGAAGGCATGGTCTTCAGAGGTGTGTCGTTAAGTCCTCACATAGTCGCTTACAGTAACCCTCCCTAGTTGTAGGCAACTATAGACGATAACCGTATGCAGGACACATTCCTTTATTCCACACCAATGCTCGATCCCTTCGTGTTTCCTAGAAAAAAAGTGTTTCCTGATCATAATGGATAAGTCGCTCAGAAAAACAAGTAGTAAATCTCATCCTTAAGTAGAAGAGCTTATAAATTATGAATAGCTGTGGAGTGCCAACAAATTGATGAAAACAAGTAGGGATTCTGAGGTAATTTCATTGATTGCATAATCCCTATCGCCTTCCGTTACTATTTCGCTACTCGCTTACATTTTATTCTTCTCCCACACAGAATGAGGCTTCAATATTTACTTTAGTTCATTCGATCCCTGAAAAGTACCGCCCTTCCATGGGATCCGGCTGGCTTCGTGGTCTACGGGCTTCCTGTTAGGTGGTACTTGTATTTAATCTTTCCGACGAACAGTGTTCATGGATCAGTGGGAACACTACTCCTCCCATGAGCTCCAGCTCCTTGTTCTCTCGGAGTTCACAACCCTCTCTTTACAAAGCCCACTGTCGTAAGATACCTGCCAGGCTAGCCTAGCTGTCAAGGTAGTGGTATCATCCTACTGTCAGTCGATTACCGTCATAAATTGTCGACGACTGGGGAGGGATACGGCAAGTAAACTAGGTGAAGACCTGAAGACACCCTTCTCGAAGCTTGTGCCTTTCCTATCAATCCCTTACGAGGACGCATCTGACATCCATAGAGGAAAGTTTGTGAATCAGTAGGTCCCAGAACTCAGACGCGTGGGATTCACTGAGGGCAGTTAATCCGCATTCCCTTGGCCTCGTTGCTATTCGCTGGAATTAAGAAGTTAGCACTCTCCATATCCCACCACTGGGGACCATGTTCACCCGCTGCAAATGTTTTGGCACTAATTCAAAAATTTCAGATGACCAAAAATCGTATTTTTCTCAATAAGCTCTTTTTCAATAGACAACTGGCAGAAAAAGCAGCGTCTCCTGGCATTTTCTTGAATTCGATACCTACTCCTTTGCGATACTGACTGAGTTGAGTCGGACATGAGTGGGTTAGTCTACTCTTCAATCTTGGCAGGAGGCTTGATACCCATTAAACTATGGCGACGGCTGTTTAATCTCTACTGCGAATTAGATTACATAGTTATGAAGTAATAAAGGCTGATTAAAGCCCATTCGGCGAAGGATTTACTTCCACCGTTTGGTTCCTGGTTTACTACCTTCAGGCCTCGAGGAAAAGCTGAAAGTTATCGTTTTTGTAAGACCAGAATTGCATGTAACTGGTACTTCAACCAGTTTTTTTGCTATTTTTGAAGCAGAGTTTGTACGCTTCCATGAAAAGCTACTGTAATCAGTGAAATGGTACAACGTGCACTGTATTTTTTTAAGAGAAAGCAAAAAAAGACATTTTTTTGCCCACTCCTTTTTAATCAAGTTACCTCTCGCTATTTATCAGAGAAAGTTGCTTTGACCAGCTCAATTCATCCAGCTCTACGGGTTTTCCAAATTTATCAAGGCTTTTCAAACTTCAGACGTGAAACAAAGGGCTTTTTTGAGCTGAGTAGAACTATATAGTTTCCTCTCATTAGAAATGGGTAACGTACGTTGTACGTACGGTAGGTAAACAACAAATAAAATCAAAAAAAGATATCCGTAGTTATTTTCCGTTTTTCTTTCTGGAAGATCAAGGTGGATATTACAGTTTTGCCCGATACCTCTATCAAATTCTTGTCGTGGGTCAGCACATGCCATCGTAGGTCTATCAAAAGTGGGTCATTCAATCGTGTCAGGACTTCTCAAATTCCTATTCGTCAGAGATCCTGAGAAGTCTTACCACCTCAGTTATCGCGGCTATCTGTGACCATCGCATGTTTACACCCTTACTCGGAATCCCTCAGTTGGAAATCCAGAATATCTGAACATCTGAAAGGAAGGCAGAGATGGGTGGCTGGTATTAGTGTGTTTCCATCTCATTCCTAGTATCTCTACACTATTTTTTAGTAAATTACTTGTTTACTACACATTTACTTCTCGATAGACTTTAGGACATCATAGATTTCCATTTATTGAAAGGATGCCCTATGAAGATTCCTCAAGGTTTACAAGATTAGGTCTCAGAACGGTGGTAGTCTTCAATCTTTGCCTAGTTTCCTCCGCTTCTCCTCTTCCGGTCTTCCTGTTACTCGGTACATCGAAATTGTTTACGAAATTCATGTAGTGAATCCGAATGTCGAGGCATGTGACGGCTCGTACTTCTATAATTATAATCTTCCTTGCCCTGTATACTTCCCTTCCATACCTAGAAAAGAATAAATTGGCGACTTTCTTCTAAGAATATCTTATTGTTCGTTTGACTGTTGTCAGCTTCTTAGTGTAATTTGACTTTGACTTTTGGTGTCGTTCTGTCGATTCGCTGATTTCGATTAATTTCTATTTGAATTCCGAAAATTCCAGAATGATCACGACAACGGCATCCACCCTCTTGTACAATTCGACGTTGACCATTGATGATACGATGGAAAAGCTGAATTATTTGAAAAGTATCTACTCCTGGTTGATACCGTTGATGATTATCATTCTTGCGGTGAGCTTTCAAATCTACTAGCTAATTTTGAGAGCCTACTGATTTATTTTACCAGGAGTTCGCTCATTCCTCATGTTCACAGGGACCACTAAAGATGGAAAAGTAAATAAATAAATAAATGATAATAAGTAGATTATATAAAAAAGAATACGAGGAAGGAAATTTGTTTACTTCTAACTGATGAGTAACTGCGTAGAAATTCTGGATGATGAACGAGAATCGTGGGAAAGCGCGTCAGCGACGTAGCTCATACAGTATATTCCAAGTGACGTTATAAGTAAATAAAAGAAAACAGCCACGGCCATATAAGTGAAAACGAATAATAAATGATAATGGGTGTAATATGAATTCGCTATAAATAATTATAAATATAATAATAAATGTAAAATCAAATAAGCTTTCCGATAGTACCATTATTGCTCAAAAAATCTGCCCGAATTTTACTAATCCTCTGGCTCAACAAAACGGTAAGCCAGTGCGCATTCAAAGCCTACCACGATCTCGGGTGGAGGATGAATGCATGGCGCAACTCGAACTTGTCGAGCCTGACTCCTCATTCATGTTTTTCCTGCTGCTTCTGAAGGGAATTTTCATGCTCTCACTCTATATCAAGTGCTTTTCCATAGAGTAAGGGCTAGAAAGGCAAATACGATATAAAAGGGTATTCAAAACTTATAATAAATTACGAAAAGTGTTTAAATTATTGAGAAAGCTGTAGGTAGGAGGTCTGAACCGGCGACATCGCGCGCGACTTTATGATAAGCTCCGAAACTCGCTAAGAGGCAGACGGGCCATTTGAATTTCCTCCTTTTTTCCTTCAGCTCCATAACTTCTTATCGATTTTTATCAACTTCAAGACTTCCAAAAAATCAGCAGAATAGAATGAAAGTAGTAAAAATCAAATGGAATAAATGAAATTTGGTTATACCAAGCTTGTAATTGAACTTTTCAGCTAGCCATAATCGGTAATGGTCTGATTGTGTTGGCTGCACCGTTTCTGTCATCACCGGTCTCTCCTTATCTGAAGCTATGTATAAGCCTCGCAGCAGCCGATATGTGGGCCGCATCTTTGCTTATCACAGGTAGTCTATACTTTCTAAGTAACTGGTAAACTAACTACCGAAAGTCGCGAAGAAATTACACGAAAGTAAGGTTGATGGCTACAGATCTAGCTCTTTTGGTGTAACAGCCCCTGAATTATCAATGTCAAATCTTTTAGAATGGTTTTTCCCTTTTTTAATTAGTAGCTTTAAAAAGTAATAAGAGTGGTCTGTCGGGAACTTCGCTTTCTAGATCGGGATAAAATGTTGGGAGCGGGGGAAAGCGCGCCCTAATCACAACGCTTTGGCGAAGGCAGATGCTACAGTACCTGTTCATGAGGATGGCCACTTTTGGCCTAAAATTTTAATCTTCTCAGCTTCTTACTTTCAAATACCAGGCCTCTTTTGACCACTGCATGCTCCATTTCAGGGCTAGTAGTAAACTCCTATCTACCGGTAGTGATAGGAGTTCATAAGTCGTCAAAATGTGTCGATGCATGGCTGGAAATGTTCCGTGTATCGGGCATGCTCACATCGGATATGCACCTATTCGCCTTGGCTATCAATCAATTCTTCGGCACTCTGTGGCCTTTGAAATATAAGGTACCTTTCTGAGGATTACTTTTTCAATTACCCCGAGTTGTAAAGTAAGTTTTCAGGTAATGGTAACAACACGTCGTATACGATGCATTGTACTGAGTCTATGGATCGTTCCATTACTGTTTGTATTTTGCTGGTGAGTTGTTAGGTCAGGTGGCTATTCACAAAATGCTGGGCCCTGGTAGTGCACTTGAATTTTTGGTTTCTGAGTTTAAGTTACCCCAGGGTTGGAGTCATTGCCCTTCGAGAGTCCTTTTAAAGCTGGCTGAGCTTAAATCGGAGTAGTTACTCCTGTAATAAGGAAGTTTCATGTTGTTGTTGTTGAAGTTTGCTGTGGAAGATCGTCCTAGTATCCGGCAGCGAGACTTCAGTTGGACTAGCATTTGTCCCATTCATGAGCTTTGGGTTAAAAAAAATTGGGAGGATCACTGTGATAGTCTCCTTCACACATGTCGCAATGAGCAATGGTTACTCATTCCTGTGCTCTCATGTGCACTCTATTATTGAGGTGATGAATGGCCTACCGGTTAATCCCATTCCACCCACTCTAATGTCCCTGCTCACCTCTAATTTAGATAAAAGTGTTCGTCTTCCTGGTGGGAGACGGGCAGTAAGGACGGTTTTGTGTAATCGATTCGCCGCACGCGGCTGTCGCGAACATTCGCTTCGCCGTTATTAGAGCTCTAGCGTTCTTCATACAGCTCATTCGATATACGATCCTTATTTTAGGCATGATTCTACTATTAGTTCCTTTGGTCCAGTGTTTTTTACCTGCTGCTGCATTCTGCTATATCCCTTCGCGCGCGGCGTCCCTCTTGCCGCGACGCGACGATTTCGTTTCTACTGCACCACACCCGGGGATAATCGCGGAAAACCTACTGAGTACTCGTCTAGTTTTTTTTTNNTTTTTTTTTGACCAAATCTCTGACGGTCTAAAATCTCAGAGCAAGCGTTAACCACCATAACTACTTCCGTTGGCGAATTTTATAACTTGATGTGCGCAAACTATGAAGGCGCGCAAATTTAGTGGTTCAAAAGGATATTGGTCCTGCGCGCGTTGAAGTGGACCTTGTTTTTTATCCCCTATGAGGACAATTCAAGTTCGAAATTATGGAAAAGACCGGAGAATGAGTAAATATCAGAAATTAAAAACTAGTTTGCTAATTTTGATGATTCAGCGGTCAATTTCAGGTTCATTTCTGGTGAAAACGATGGCCTACGTCATGAGAAATGCTACATGTTTTTCTACAATCGATTCCCATTTCGAATAACAATTTTCCTGATTTTTATCATACCATTGCTGGCAACGTTGCTGATTTATGGCACGATTCTGTCCAAGCTGCTCAAAGCCAAAGCCGAATTCGAAATGACAGAAAGGTATGCTTCTGATCCTCCTATCCAAAGAGTGACACTGCAGCTTTCCCACTACTTAATTGAGACTAAATTAGTATGAAACTTATGTCTTCATTGCCAATAACCATAGAGAAATCGCCATGTGTCGCGTGCGGTCGCGTCGCGTCTATCCTCTCATTGAAGAATTAAACTTCAAAAAACTTCTTAATTTCGAAATAGAGAAACCACCGGAAGATTGCTACTTTCAGATGCACCGGCACCCGTCGATCAAACGTTCATTCAAAGCTGAAGCTCGTCTGGACGACTCTGCTCATCGTTTCTACGTTCTCATTGAGTTGGGGCTTATGTGTGTTGTACTTTGTACTGGTCTGCGTTGACGGATGTCCATTCACCTACAATGTAAGTTAAAAGCTCCTCCCCTCTGTACAAATCCCGCCCATGTCTCATGACAAATATCGAAATGGTTTAGGTGTCACTCAACTTCTACCTCGGTCTATTTCTCAACTCAACCGTCAACTGCCTGGTGAGTGAAATTTGAATTCGGGCTGCTTAGGCTGAAGCTTTTAGACTTTTTAAGGGGATTCTGATCAATTACTCAATTTTTGAGACGAGAAGGACTGTATTCTCCATATGCCATGATTCCGGAACCCGTTGATATTGAGGGTTGAGCTGTTAACAGCCGCTCAAGCTGAATTTAAAAATGAAGTCATACAAATGTTGCAAGCGTCTGCGTGTCTAGGATGCGGGCGGTTGCTATACGTGTCGCGAGTAGATCATTCTAAGAGATCGCACTTCACGGGCTAAATCTGTTTCGACACCTCCCACATTGAAGTGCAATACTATTTTTATATACTGTTACATTACGAAATAATTCAAGGCAGCAGTGTAAAACAATGTATGAGTGTGTGATACAAAACTAGGTGATGAAAAGATTCGACGGAGACTTTTTGTGGCGACCGATAGCTGACGCGGGCGGCTGCGTCGCGGCGACGCGTTTCCAGGCTTTTTCGTTTAACATTCAGAATTTTTTATATATTTTCTAATTTAAGGTGATGATAAAGTTGGCATCGAATCCGTTCATCTACACACTTCGAATTCGTGCCATCAAAACCAGTGTGGACACCTTATTGGCGACACTATTCCATCGGAAAACCTATCCAACAAACAGTGCCGGCAAAGCTACCGTCACACTTCTGGGAAATACTTCTGGCGCTGCAGTATCGCTTTGAAATCCATCGATAATCTTATACCTCGTTGTAGTCGGCCTTAGAACAACAATCAGTGTTTCTCCATTGATACGATTAGTGTGATTCCCGTATCGATTTATTGATTCATTAACTTTCCATTTACTTTCTCATACGAAGCTCTTTCGTATCCCTACATACGTATCGATTTTATTGATTTTTGTACTAACGAAAATATTTGCCTTTGTGTATTACGAGTTACGAGTATGTACATATCCGATAATTTTCATTTTGATCTCTTGCTTGAATGAAGTATTATGGCGAAATTCAATAATCGACAAGATCGGCTCAAACGACCGATTAGCGGTGGCAATGTTTTTCTGCAATTGCGGACTGCATGAACTTTTTCTGCATGCCGAATTTTGTCGTAACAATTTCGTCTTCTCTACGTCTTTTAACAGTGGTTGAACTAATTCGAGAAAATTCAATGCTGAAGAACCATTCATAATTTTTTTTNTTTTTTTTATTATATCGCAATTACCGTAATTGCCTGGCCAAAGTTTGGTAGTGATAAGTGACGTCGCTGTCGTATACAAGGTCCTCGAATCGGATCTGGCTGCAGCGTTTTATGCTGTGACCCCCTTAGACGTCGGCCACTTAGTACCAGGCTCGTTTCAGGGTATGGAACACCTTGCGCTTTGGTATTGTCCTATAACTATTTGTGTAAGGCAAGTGCGGGTCAAAATGTTGGTAAAGTCCTTTGTGTAAGTCAAACTCATGGCGCATCCTACCAGAGAAGATGGAATAGAGCAAGTAGACTTTTGAATATGACACTGTTGGATGATCTGTACACGGTGGATGGTCAGGTTAGTCTTACAAGCCGTGGCCGGTGCATTGAGGTGGGATACGATCTGGATCCTCGGCTCAGCCCTATCAGAACCTCTTCAACTGTGCCTTCATAGGTATTTTGGGGTCCGCCATTTTATAAACTAGTTAGCTTTTCCAATTTCATCTATCGACAGTCTCAACTGTTTTTTATTCGTTCTGAGCAGCTGCAAGGTTGAAGGGAGCTGGTAGATGGCAGGCTCTCGGGAGGAACAGGGCAAAAACCCGTTTTGACTTTTTACTGCTTGGACTGCTTCTTTCATGGCAATTTGATGTGTTAGAAGACAAGCGATGATGTTGCTCTGATAAGTCTTTATTGTTTTCTTTCTCAAAAGCTGCCAAGTACAAAAGCTAATGGTGAATGTTGCTGTTTTCGGTCTCACCAGAACGTACCGAAATAACCTCTCATGCCTTCGAAGCCTCTGTAGCCTCTCATGCCCCAGTAGCCTCTCATGACCCTGTAGCCTCCGTAGGGTCCCAGGCCTCTCATGCCTCCAAAGGGTCCCAAGCGTCTCATGCCTCCCCAACCTCCCATGCCTTCCATCAGATCTGAAGCAAAAAAGCATGCTGATCCACGAGCTTCAACCATTCCATGTAGGCTCTCGAGAATTTCGCATTTGAACATGAATTCGCCCAGTTGGAGCAAGTTCACTGCAGCACAATCGAACTGGAGGCACGCCTCTTTGCATTGGGCGATATCCTGAAAAAGTAGTACTACATTGATAGCACAGTGAAGCTGGAGAGAATTTTTTCGAATGGAATGGTTTCCACCGTCCACCGCACTTGCCCCAGAGAGCCGTTCGCTTTTGTGCGAATCGCTAACAAATCCCACGAAGCCCAACAAATTCTTTCACCATTCCTGAGTCGGGCGATTCGTAGTAAACATTCCCGGCGCTTTCACCCTCCCAGACGGCCCAAAAATACCGTAAGGTTTCACCGTAACGACGAATTAGTTCAGGCAGCCTCAGCTGTCTCTACTACTGAATAACGTGCCGATATATCTCCGAGGGAAAGCTATTTAGGGTCACCGGGATAATCAGTCGTTAATCCAATCCTTACCCGAACATTGTCGATTTCGTAAACCTTCCCACCACGACATGATGCTCGCTGTTGCAGTAAGTAAGCTCGAGGTTCAATGATTTGCATTGTCGGCAAATCTGAAATTGTGAACTTTGTCTTAAGGCTTTCGAGTGCGAGTTTAGCAGGCATTTGAATGATAGGAATCTAGTACCGTAAAATGAACAAAATTTGTGTATGGGGAAGCCACTCGAAAAGCATCGTTAGGTGGATTGGTAGTGGGGCTTACACCAGCACTCACCGATAAGCATTGACATGACGGCTAGCGAGAGTAGCATAGGCGCAAAAGACATCTTGAGTCTGAAAAAACGGTATTCTTGAAGATATTCATAGTAGCCGAAATGTGCAGCAAAATGGGCGGAGCTCCACTACTGATGCGAACTTATCAATGATTCAGTGGCAGATGAAAAGAGATGCTCCTTCCGAACTTATTCGGGAGGGTTGGGTCTGATTGTAAGGGGGAACGGGAGAAACGGAGGCTGCAATTTTGACGTTGAGAGTAAGACATGCACACACCTTCACTTCAATATCTCCCAGATGAAACTTGGGGATCTGAATTTCGTTTTCACTTGGCACTAGCCCTCCATTACATTGATCAGTTCATTTATTTATTTATTTATTTATTTATTGAGCTATTGTTGAAGTGACATACAACAGTATGGTTCAGACTAGCGTCAGAGTTACAATAGAATAGAGTAATGTATCATATCCTCTTAACATGAAATAGAGAGGAAAAC